GCCTCTCCCTTCCTCTTTGAAATCAATAAAAAATATATTTTAAAAAAATAAAATAAAAATCAATAAAAAATATTTTTAAATATTTTGAAAACCAGGATCTTTAATGAAAATTTTAACTAAATGGACTGCTATGACCAAAATTAATTTAGCCCTAACTGGTTTGGCTCAGTGGTTTCAATTAACCTTTGGATAAGGCTTCTCATACATGGGATGATACAACATCCCATCTCTGTAACTCCTAACACGATTAACAAAGAGGTGAATATGGATACCATCATCCCCTTCCATTTTCTGAACCATTGCTCTAGTACAGTGATGGCAAACCTATAACACGCATGTCAGAGGTGACACGCGAACTCATTTTTTTGGTTGATTTTTCTTTGTTAAATGGCATTTAAATATATAAAATAAATATCAAAAATATAAATCTTTGTTTTACTATGGTTGCAAATATCAAAAAATTTCTATATGTGACACGGCACCAGAGTTAAGTTAGGGTTTTTCAAACTGCTGACACGCCGAGCTCAAAAGGTTCGCCATCACTGCTCTAGTAGATTGGAGAAAGGATCCTCAATTCCAGGATTCTCAGCTAACTCATTGCCTAAAGTTGTTAATCCCTGCAGAGCCTTAGTAATGGTTCTGTCTGGAGCTGTGTTGTCAGGGATGAATGTACAACACTGGCCTCCCAACATTACACATATTCCTCCTTTTTCTGCCAGAATCATATCCAAGGCCAATCTACTAGTATTCTCCCATGTTATCCTGCTGGTAGCATCTAGTTGTTCAGCTATACTTATACCTGTTCATATTGGGTATAGTTAACAAACCTTTGTTGATTATAGTAAATATTAGAGGCTCCATGCACAGATTCATGCACTGATGGGGTCCCTCAACCTGGCCTGTGCCCTCTCACAATCTGGGACCCCTCAGGGGATGTCAGACTGCCGGTTTCAGCCCAATCCCCGCAGGCCAGGCTGAGGGGCCCCATGTGCACCGGGCCTCTAGTATGCATGTAAGATCTTTGGTTAATCTCTTCCTGCCATCCCCCCTCCCCCGTTTCCTCTGAGATTCATCAGTCTATTTCATGTTTCCATGCCTGTGCATTGAGCATCTGCCCCCTGGTGGTCAGTGAACCTCATAGCTCCCGATCAAATGGTTGAATGGCTGGCCGGTCACTTAGGCTTTTATATCCTATATAATAAAAGCCTAATATGCTAAGTGTCCGGTCATCTGGTCATCTATTCAACCAATCAAAGCATAATACACTAATGATATGCTAAGGCTGCTCAACTGCTTGCAATGATGTGCACTGACCACCAGGGGGCAGATGCTCCAACCTGTAGGTTAGTTTGCTGCTGGGGTCTGGCTGATCAGTACTGAGCAAGATGGGCCAGACATGCCCTGGAGCCCTCCCACGGTCCCTCCCTGGCTGGCCAACCTCTGTGTCTCTCCCCAACCCCGATCGTGCACTGGTGGGTTCCCTCAGCCTGGCCTGCACCCTCTCGCAATCCAGGACCCCTCAGGGAATGTCGGAGAGCCAGTTTCAGCCTGATCCCGCAGGCCAGGCCAAGAGACCCCACTGGTGTACGAATTCCTGCACCGAGCCTCTAGTATATAGATAATTAATCCAACCCACATTCTTGTTTACAGTAGACCACTAGAACAGGACAGATTCAAATCCTGCAGAAATCTGATTTCTAGCCTTAAACTCATTTGTCACTTCTCCTGGAACCCCAATGGAATCTATGTAAATATGGGTGTCAAAGGAGCCCCCTGGACTCTCTCCTCTTCCTAGTCTGTTTGTCCCTTGAAAAAGGTTTACGATATGCCAAAGTGAAAGGGATAGTCAATTTTATGACAGCACAAGTTCTTCTCCATTTACTGGGCAAGGCCACAAGTAATGATCCCCCACAACACCACCAGACATCAGCACGGGGTATTGACAGGGCAGAATGATTGACTTCTGAGGATACTTGGCCATTTTGGGTAAATAGTACTCATAAACTCTGAGTACTATTCCCCCACCTTGAGAGGCAGGAGGTATAGTTCACATCAGAAGATGGGGGCTGGATCGTTTTAGGGAGTCCTAGCTCTTTACCTCTGTTGGATGGGAACAACAGGGCAAGAGTCTTACAGGAAGTGATTCCCCAGGCGGTTTCCTCCTGGTACAAGGCAAGCACACATTCCATCCCATTACTTTTTGAGGTCCATCCGAGTGGGAATGGGACCATTTGGGCGTCTAGCCTTCCTGCTGCACAAGCATAACAGCTGCTTTTATTTAGGCTGCATACAGAATATTTAGTCCATTCCACCCAGGCATTCGTTCCCTTATATCCTACTTCTATTTGCATGGTGGTGGCAGTGGTCTAGGGTATCTTGTCCTGAAATATCTATTCCTAAATCTAGTCCTAGCCAATCTTTTGGCCTAAAGTCTGAAGTATTCAAGTCATTCAAGTTATCTATAATCAATAGCGTAACTGGGTAAGCATAGTCCAGATTGTATACATTTCCCCAGCCCACATTGTATGTCCCTGCAATTTGCCAGATCCCTAAAGCAAATAGAGAGTCTACTTTTTCCTTAGCATTAATTTCAAGGGTTTGTGTCTGTGAGGTGGCCCAGAAAAGCGGCGAAGAGAACAAAGAGAACCGAATGAATCAGAAAGAAAAAGGAGAAGTTTATTTGCGTTCTCGGGCGAGACCCACTGGCCCAAAAGGTGGGGCCAGTGAATTTCGCGCTTCCAGGGAGGGAGGGGCATCTCTTTATTCAGGTGTTTGGTGAGGGCGGGGGCCTGAACTGAGGAAGTCTCCGAAGCAGGGATCATCACACATTCAACTGAGGAAGTCTCAGCTGCAGGGGGTGGGTGAGAGATTCAGGAATGAGTCAGTATCTGTGTGGGGGTCGTTGTGGATTCAGGGAGAAGAAGCTGGTATCTGTGTCTGGCACATTGATCTGTGAGAAATTCCAGGGGAAGTCCATTGTCTCATCACAAGTCTGCATGTATCCGATCCTGGGCTCTCTCCGACCTAACATCCCGGCCTTTTGGTGATAGGGGGCGGTGACTCTTTCTAGCTACTTCCAGCTGACCACGGGCGATGGGGGGGGGGGCGGTAAAGGCCAGGGTTAGGCAGAGGCAGGTCGGAGGGGAGCCGAGTGTAGGGATGCAGCAGGAGCTGATTCACAGTCGCCCATGACATCTCCGCAATCCGGGAGCAGATGAACTTGAGGAGGCAGGGGGCTAGGAGAAAAAAGACACAGATGAGAATCAGGGGCCCTACCATGGGTAGGACCCAGGTAGCTAAGGGGCTTTGGAACCAGCTGAAAGGAGAGTTGTCCTGGAAGTGTCCTGCATGTAGTTCTTCACTCAGCTTAGTCAGGGTCTGTACGTTTTGCTCCACTACTCCGGACTCGTTGATGTAGTAACAGCATTCCTCCTGAAGGAATATGCAGGTTCCTCCTCTTTCTGCAGTCAGAA